AATCGGTAATGTCTTTGAAGGGGTTGGGTTGGCAAATGGCCAATGCTCACAGTTCTGTCATTCACTCAAATGTGACCTACAATGACACAAATATGACCGGTGGTACCAACGCCAATGCCGAACTGGGCATGCTCAGTCTGAGGACAAGAGGATGCTGTCCTATCTGCCTCCAAACATCTGAAGGACTAACGCATAGAAGACAGATTTGAATATTTCAACCTTACCCCAAAGTAGAAATTAGTCTCCTGAGGGAAGCAGTGATCAAACTTGATGATCATGTGAGTGACCTAAGAAGAAAAAAATCTTCAAAAATGCATGGGGAGATAAGTTAGCTCACATCTCCAGTCCTGAAGGAAACGGTGAATGAGCCATGTAAGGAGGCCTCTAGCAAGGATTCCTGCATCAGACAGACTTCCACGATGCTTCTGTGACAGAATGGGAGGAGGATCAGATGGTGTCCCAAGCTCTCATGAAAAGCAGCTCTGGGAGGGAATTAGGGAAAGTGAGGCGTCTCAGAAATCAAGCGTGGCAACACAGTCTAGAGAGACTCGGATGTGTGTATCCTCGCCTCAGGGTTTTAGCTACAAACAGCGATAATATTATCAGAGTTTGTTGAACATCCAAGATGCCTCGCTCAGGGCTTGGCTCACAGTGTTACTTCAACCATGGTAAATTGCTCTTTATATTATGGGCAAGGAACCAGCTGAAATCAAAGGAACTGGAGAAATCCCAGCTCCTATAGGAAGGATGCACACTTCCGTGGAGTCCAAAGGGCAGCCTTGGATATGTTTGCTCTGGGGGTGTAACTGAGAGGCTGTATCCCTGGTTATGTAAACTGAACTGGGAGCTGTCTGTACTGTATACACGGGGCTGGGTGTGGGTTGAGATAGGCGAGGAGGACGTGGGTGTGCTCAACATGAATCAAATGTGTACAATGTCAGTTACCTTAAAAAAGAAGCCGGCTGGACTAAGTTGTCCCACCTAGCTTTTCTCGGGAGCCTCAAGTGCTCTCTTCTCTTCCTGCCTTGTCCAGGTCCTTCCTTCAGCCTGCACACACCTCCTTCACTGTTAGAAATCTGCCCCTCCCTCCTTGAGAAAGATGGTGGAACTCGAGCCCCCCAGCCAAGGGCTCTGCCTAACTACCTTCAAACACCCTCACATGCCTAGCAAGGAGCGGCACAGTGAACAGCTTCAACTGTGTCTAAGGCTACCAGGAAAGGCAAATGGAAACTCTTAGAGACAGCTCTGAATCACCAGGTATGTGATCAGGCAGGTGGTAGCCAGCCACTCTCCAGTTTTTCTGAAGTCAGCCAAAGACATGTGTTAGCATGGGGGCAAGGAGCATCCACACTACCCCCCAAAGCTCCCCTATCCTCAAGTCTGTTAGGGCATTGGCAATTCTGGTCATAAGAGGGTCCACAATCGCCTTCTTCTGGGCTTTGAATGTAAGGCCACTCACTACTTCCCTGCAGGGATGGCCACTCCCGTATCCACCAAGCTGATGCTTAGACGCCAGTCTCTGCATACATTATACCCCAAAATTTGGACCACAGGAATTGTGTAATGTCCCACCAGAAGAGTGGAAAGTGACTATCATATTTAAGTCATCAGGTCATAAATTGTTCTAGGGCTGTGTGGGACTGCAGCAGACACTGGAAGGGACCAAGCCACCTGTCCTGTCTGCATGAACTTCCTCTAGTTTCCTCTCTACCCACCCTTCCTGATTCAGCCTGAAAGATCCTCAAACATGGTGGGTTTCGGACAATTTTTAGACAAGACTCCAGTAAGTCCATTTTATACCACAACGCAGAACACATAATCACATTAGCATGTGTGGCATGGAGCATACACATGCATGTATTTTGAGTTCTTCTGTTCCATTCTGTAGTCATCTATTCCATTTTTAAATGTTGATTATGACCTGACTTTCACCCTACAACCAGAAGTTTAAAGACAGCGTCCTTCACTGCTGATCTTTCCCAACAATTCGAGCTGCTCTCCGCTCCCTGTAAATGAGGGCCAACCGCTTTACCACAGCGGACAACGCATCCAGCTTCAGTTTGGTCAACCACCTGAGCTGCCGACACACCACTGTGTAAGCCATTCCTCCCGGCCTGCACATCTGTGAAGTGTCCCAGACACCAGTCCTCTGAAAGCTGTTTTGTCTGCCCCAGCAAAACCAAACTCCATTATGCTCCCATAGTCTTCAGGAATTCTTTCTCTTTTAATGTAGCACAAAATGACTTCCTGGACCTGATTGTGGCTTAGATCCGTTTTCTTTTCTTCCTTCCTTCCTTCCTTCCTTCCTTCCTTCCTTCCTTCCTTCCTTCCTTTCTTCCTTCCTTCCTTCCTTCCTCGTTCCTTCCTTTCTCCCTCCCTCCCTCCCTCCCTCCCTCCTTTCTTTCCTTCTTTCTTCCTTTCTTTTGTGTGTGTGTGTGTGTGTGTGTGTGTGTGTGTGTGTGTGTGTGTGTGTGTGTGTTTTGTTTGTTGTTTGTTTTGTTTTTCAAGACAGAATTTCTTTCTGTGAAGCCTTGGCTATCCTGGAACTTGTTCTATAGACCAGACTGGCCTCAAACTCACAGAGATCCACCTGCCTTTGCCTCTGCCTCCCGAGTGCTGGGATTAAAGGCGTGTGCCACCACTGCCCTGCGCAGGTCTGTTTTTTATGTCTGAATTTTTAGGGGAGGGGGAGGGAGGAAGGGAAGGAGAAGATGCAGGTGAACGTGGGGGTCAAAGGTTGATTGATGTTGCTAGCTTCCTCAATTCCTCTCCTCCATCTTTTTTTAGGCAAGGAACCGCCCTGGAGTTCACTGATTTGGCAAGCCTACTGGCCAGCAAGCTCCAGGGGTCCTCCTGTCTCCGCCTCCCTAGTGCTGTGTGACAAATGCTGGCTTTTCACCAGGGCGCTGAGGATCTGAACTTGGGTCCTGACACTTAACACTTCACTAACTGCACAATCTCCCCAAACCAACAAATGAAATAAAGAATCCTTCTTCCCTTCCTCCTGCCTCAGTGATGCTCAGAACTCCTCACAGGAGAGAGAGGAAGCGGCCAGTCTGGTTTGGCTTTGTTTCCTTTTAGACATGCAGTCTCATTGCCAGTGTCTTCAAACTTGTCCAAGGTACAGCACGATTTATTGGACTCACGGGAGACTGGAAGAAGCCAGCTGAGGTGGAGAAACCAAAACAGGGTGAGAATGATGGCCGGCTCGAGCTGCCAAGGCAGGGTAGGCACTGGTAGGAGGACATGAAGAAAATAACACTGCTCCCCAGGCTCACAGCGAAACCCTGCCACCACACCAAACAAATGCCCTGTAGCCTGCTACGGCCTCAGCTGGTGGGCAGCACACACCCAACTTCTAGCCATCCATGGAGCTTGATGAACAGTGGGTTACCTTGTCTACTTAAAAATAATAGCCAAGGGCTGGCAAGGTGGCTTGGAGGGTAAAGGCACTCACTGCCAAGTCTGATGATCTCAGTTCAGGACCCAGAACTCACAGGATGGAAAGAGAGAGACTCCTGCAAGTTGTTTTCTTGCTGCCATACACAGCATCTCCCCCAAATAAATAAATAAATAGATAAATAAATAAAATAAAATAAAGAAACAAGCAAGCAATGGCACGTATATTATTATTGCATTTAATGATGGAGGTCAGGGCTTGGGAAGGTGGGACACTTTAAGAGGGCAATTCGATAAACTTCTCACCCTACAGCTAGAGAAAAAGAGACGCAGGCAGGCCAGTAACTTGCCCATGGTCACACCTGATTAGCCGCAGAGTACAGAGTTCTTTATGGCCAACCATGCTGGCCACACACAGAAGCACCCAGTGCCCTCATGTTCCCCGAAATGCACGCTTCTAAGGGCCGCACTCCGCCCAGCTTGCAAAGCCCCTTCAAGGAGGCCAAGCACTGCCTGCCTTGACTGCAGAGAGGCTTCCCAAGCCATCAGCCCTGCCCACAATGCTCTGCCACATGCCACATGCACTAATGGTCTCTTCGCAGTATTGTGGCCGTTACCAAGCGCCTAAGCTATTAACTCACCACCAGCAGGTGCCAAATTGCCTCTTCTTCTGCACAAGATGTTCATTTAAAACCAAATTACACGTAAATCCTCAAGTGCCTGCTTATTTCCTTCAGCCCTTAGCCTTTTGGCGCGGCCCCCACCCCTTTTGCACCTGGCTGCTGGATGTCTCTGAGATGACATGTGACATCTGTGCAGTTGTGCAGTTGGGCTGTGTGGACTTCAAGCTTCCAGAGGGACACACGTAGAACTGGAAGGATGTTTAGGGACGCTTCCACACCCAACCTGACCCTCTTCAGTGGAAACTGAGGCCAAGAATGCAGCAGGGGCTTGCTTGCCCAAGCAAGCCGGGAAGACCAAACTAGCGTTAAGACGTTTGCTTTGCCAAATAGGAATCTAAGCTTGGGGAGGTGGGAGGTGACCACCTCTATGCTGATCCAAGCCTGGAATCGCCATGAGAGGGGCAGGAGGCAGAGCCCAGGCAGAAAGCCTTCTTATGCACTGTGCTCCTGCCTGGGTGTCCCCTGGGCCAAGGGTGCAAAGCTGAAACGCGATGGGGGTGGGGTGGGGAAGCTTGGGGCAAAGAGGACTGGGGTCCTGACCCTGCAGAAACCAGCTCCGAGGAGCGCCCCCACCCTAGAGTTAAAGGGGCCTCTGGTTGGGGAGCCCCCGGACAAGGTCCGAATGCCTTTCCCCATTCAGTAGGATTATCCCTTTTGAATTGTTGGGGGCGAAAGAAAAAAAGCTACAGCTAGCGAACCCTGCCTGACAACACCGAAGGAATTTTTCCCAGGGATCGGCCGAAAGCTGACTCACATTTAAAGACTTGCCCAAAGTGGTCATGCCCCTCTGAGCAAATACCACAGGCATGTAAAACCTCGCTCCCCGCGGCCTCCGGCGGCCGCCCATTGGAGCGGCGCGGCGCCTCTTGGGCCGCGCTCAGCCAATCGCAGCGCCGCGGCGCCGGGTTGCTAACCGGGCTGCGGGTCCGCGGCAGGCGCGGGCCGGGAGCTGTCACCGCTTGTTTCCTGTCCCGGGGGCGGGCGTGCTGCGGGTGGGAGGCCCTGACTGTTTGTTTAGGCAGGTAAGGGGAAGAAAAGGATCCAAGGCGGAGCCACCTACCCGGGAGGCTGCCGTAGGGCCTGGGAGAGTGCGGGCTACAGGCCGGCTGGGGTGCATTCCTGGGCTGCCGCCCCGCGCTTCCTCCCCCACCCCACCCCCATCCCCGGCCTGGGCGACCCCTCCGATGTCAGGATGCTTGCAAGCCCCGCACCCATTAGTCATTCCGTTACACCAACAATGCCCCAGAGGGCAAGCGGGCAGGGCATCACTCCTAAGAAAGGAAAAGGTTTTGGCCTGGCCAGTGCCAGATCCACAAATCAGCGTGCCATTTTCAGTTGAGACAAGGATCCCTCTCTCTGTAGCCTAGGCTGACCAGGATCTTAGTAGAGAGCTCAGGACAGGGCCCGGAATTTGTGAGGGATTTTTCTGCCCTGGCCTCCAAAGTGCACGGAGGATTATAGGCATGAGCCACCGTGCCCAGCACAACTGTAGCTCTGGTCTTTGTCAACTTAAATGTGTTTTTTTGTTTTGTTTTGTTTTGTTTTGTTTTGGGTTTGCTGTTGGTTTTGAGATGGTGCCTCATGTAGCTCAGGCTGGCCTTCAACTTGCTGAGGATGACCCTGAACTCAGATCCTCCAGCCTCCACCTTCTAATTGCTAGGATTGCGGGAGTGCACCAACCACACTTGGTTTTATGCAGTGCTGGGGATGGAACCCAGGGCCTCCCGCATGCCAAGCAAGCACTCCACTGCTGACCTAGAGCTTCCAGCCCTTATTCGCTCATCTCTAAAATGAGATGTGTAGGCTGACCGCCTTTCCAGTCCCTGGCTCAAAGTCTGGTTCTTATCTGGAGTATGAGAGAAACGCTGAGGTTTGATTGTAGTTCTTCCGATTTCCCATGGAACAGCCCAAGTGCTTTTTTATTTGGCGCATGGCATCTAGCCATTGACTCAAAGCTGGGTGTCCTCTCTTCCCTTCCAACCTTCCCTCTCTCCAGCTGGATGCTTCAAATCCCTTCTCCTCCTCCAGCTTCTTCCTGCTACTGGTTTTTACACCACCTGTCCATCACTTAGACCCTCCACTTCACCTTGTCCGTCTCTCATTCTCCAGGTCTCTGCAGACATGGCCCATGCTCTCTGCACCCTAATTTTACCTAGGGCTCTCTGCTGTTTTTTCTGTGACGCTCTGAAGTTCTCAGTCACATGTATATCCCAAACTGCAATTGTAATTTCTTCTGTTAGACAAGACAGAGGCCACTTCTGCCTTAGTTTGTATCACCTCTTCAGTTCCTAGCACTGGAGAAGTGTTAGGTTGAAGTTATTTCAGACAAAAAGCCTCAGAGAAGTAAAGAATGTACCTATTTCACAGGTGAGCCTATGGAAGCTTAGGGGACTAGGCAAGGGGCACTAGAATCTGGCTCTGCTCTCTTGCATCTGTTAGAAAATTAGACGATTGAATAATGGACCTCAGGGATCACAATTAAATGCTCTCACAAATGCCTGTCTCGTGTAGGTAAGATGACTTTGTCCCTGCCATCCAAGGGCCTTTCCAGACCGAAGAAAGGTCCGTGTATTCATTCAGCAGATATGGTGGAGCATCTAACATGAGCTGAGCGTCCCAGGGGTAAATGAACTTCTACAGAGAGGACCTTACAGAGAAGTGTGAGACTAGAGAACACTTGCCGTCCACGGCCTCCCTTTAAGCCAGCCATCTATCCAGGTATTTTGGTCATTTTCACGCCTCATCTGAAGTAAGCTTAGCTTGTTCTTTTTCTTAGACTAAAAGATGGGTTCCCCAATTCTCTCTCTCTCTCTCTCTCTCTCTCTCTCTGTGTGTGTGTGTGTGTGTGTGTGTGTGTGTGTGTAAATCATAGCCAGTTTGGGGCCAGCCTGGGCTACATGAGACCCTGTTTTAAAAAACAAAAATCAAGTATATCATTGCTGTTCTTTAGATTAGCAATGAGGTGTGAGAGGCAACCATGGCTGTTTCTACAGATGGGTGCTCAGGCAAGCAAGTTTTATACATGGCGAGAGACTTTTCTGGGTACCGTTCTCTTAGCCAGGATCTAGAAGCTAGATGACAGTAGAAGGGGTTTTCTTTGGACTGCCAGCTCACAAATAGTGACACAGAGACTTATATGAAAGCTTGGCCTTAGCTTGTCCCGCTTGCTCTTATAGCTTAAATTAACCCATTTATTTTTAATCTATATTCTGTTGCATGGCTTGTTACCTCATCTCTCTGTACTGCCCATGCTGCTTCCTCCCTATCTGATTGGCGACTCCACCTTCTTCCCAGAGTTCTCTCTCTGCCCGGAAGTCCCACCTATACCTCCTGCCTAGCTATTGGCCATTCCGCTTTTTACTACACCAACCACAGCAAGACTTTTTCACTCAGTGCACAAACATCCCACAGCAGGTGACCGTCACCCTCAACGCATAGACACACAGACACACTTACACTTACACATTCCGTGACAACCACCAACTAAGTGAAACTGATTTACAAGGGAGGAAAGGAATGGGGGTACCCAGCATGAAGGAAACGCACCTGGCTCTCGTCCTGCCTGAATGCTTTCCTGCAATGAAGAACTGGTCACACTGTTTTCCCCCTTCTCTAGGTCAACTGATGTTTTGGGGCATGTGCTGTGCACATGCGCTATACAATAGGAAACAAAATATCTCTGGTCTCTGGCCTAAGAAGCTTACAGTCCCAGTCTGAGCTGGGTCATTCATACCTGTTATCATACAGTGCTCGGGAGGCTGAGGTGGGAGGACTCAGTTCAAGTCCAGCCTGGGCTACAAAGCAAGACCCTTCCTGGATAATATAATAGAAAGCTAGTGTGGGAAAGACTGGTATAACCATCTACCAGTCCAATTAAACTCCAACCAACCGTACATCCATCTTCACAAACTGAACTAAGCCTTAAAGAATGACTACTTCAGTGTATAAAAATCCCCCGGGGGCAGGAGGGATCTTGCACCGCTAAGGATCTGGAGGAAAGAGATGGAGATGAGAGGCCTCAGAGGCCCAAGGTCCTGCAGAACTGTATAGGATAGGTCCTCCATTATGATCCTAAGAGCAATGGTGACTAATGGAGGTCCCTGGGGTGATGGGAGCCATGAGCCCAAGTGACCCTTGACACACATGCCGCCATATTTGGGCTTCTCTCCTCTTTTCCTAGATCTAGGCCTTGCTTAAGTCTCCATAGCACCAGAACCTCTTCTCACAGATACCAGAACCTCTTCTCAGAAATCAGGTGACCATGCTACAGTTAGGCAGTTAGGCAAGAATAGATAATCCTCATATCAACATTCCCTGCTGGCTGAACAACCCATGAGTAAAGTCCCCTCCCTGCTTGCACCCCCCTTTGCCCCCGTCTATATATGCCTTAAGAGGAACATAAAATTTTGGAGCTTGATCAGACATCCTGTCTTGCTCTCATTCTTTGTGTCTCTTGTCCCTCTCATTCGCCGGCCCTCCCTTCAGGTCCCTGTTGAAGAACCCGCTGGCTGGGGCACTGGGGTGAGGGTTATAGGATCCAGTTTTGGATTCAAAGGTGTGGCTCAGAGGTACAATGCTTCCTAAAAATATATAATTGTGGTTGATATATTGTGCACCCCAATAAACTTATCTGGGGGTCGGAGAACAGAACAGCCACTATATTAAACATAGAGGTTAGGCAATGGTAGCACAAACCTTTAATCCTAGCATTCTGGAGGCAGAGGTCCATACGGATCTCTGTGAGTTCAAGGCTACACTGGAAACAGCCAGGCATGGTGACACACACCTTTAATCCCAGGAAGTGATGGCAGGAAGCAGAAAGGTATATAAGGTGTCAGGACCAGGAACTAGAGGCTTTTAAGTTTTAGGTTTTTAGTAGTAGTTCAGCTGAGATCCATTTGGATGAGGACGCAGAGGCTTCTAGTTTGAGGAAACAGGATCAGCTGAGAAGTTGACGAGGTGAGGTTGGCTGTGGCTTGTTCTGCTTCGCAGATCTTTCAGAATTCACCCCAATATCTGCCTCCGGGTTGTTTTTTTTTTAAATTATTAATAAGACCGTCTAACAATTTGTGTTACACATAATGCCCTGGCGTCTAGCCTCAACAACCCCCCCCCACACACACACACACTCACCACATAAAGTATTTTAAAATCACTACATTTGTCATGAGGCATGGATGAAGCAGGCTGAGAGGCAGAGCAGAGGTCAGCAAACAGGTTAGGAAGGAAGACCTGCTGGGGTCTTGAATCATGAGATGATGGCCGAGAATTCGTCCATACGGAAGGGTCTTCAAAGCCATTTTCCCCATCCTCCATCTCCATCTCCCTCCAGGACAATGTGTGTGCCAGATCAGAAAGCCCAGATCTTTCTCCTGGGACTGAAGGAGATTGGGAAGTATTTGCTGGGCTTATTACTATCTGGAGTTCAGAGTGTCCACGGGCCCAAGGGGCTGTAAGGCTGACCAGTGCAGTAGAGTATCTTGTAACCATTTTCTTAGGAATCTGCCATCATCTTACATTGTCACCTGCTTAGGACACCTGGTGGAAGGTGGCCCAGCCTTTGTCTTAGACTAAGTTCCCAGAAAGAGATAACTCAGGGCCCCTTGAGTGCTCCTTGTGATTATAGTAGAGGTTTGCCACCTGCAGTCTGGACCCTGGGCAAAGCAGGTACAGAGGCTGTGGTGAGTGGGGCATTTTCTGTTTCAAGGGTTCTTCGTGTATAACCCCGGTTCACTGAAGTCTTGCCAGGCTCTTCTCATAGGCTGTGGGCCAATCTTGCTCCTTCCTGCTTATTGTTCCGGAGGAGCCCTAGACATGCCCCTAGTCTGTTTCACTTTCGATTTCCGGGAAGAAACACACACACACACACACACACACACACACACACACACACACACATGTAGAAGTGTAAAAAGGTAGAGGTAGAAAAAGAGGGAGGAAGGAAGGGAAGGAGAGGGAGAGAGAGAGAGAGAGACAGAGAGACAGAGAGGGACAGAGAGAGACAGAGAGACAGAGCGCGCGAGCGAGCTGTCTCAGGGCTGCAGAGAGAACTGATCACCTGCTCTCTGAGTTTGACCTCAGAGATCAGGAGCCTTGCATACAGAAGAGTTGTGTGTCCAGTGTTTTGCAAAGATGACCATCTTTTTAAGGTTCAGCATTTTCCTTGAACCCTTCTACTGACCTCTGGGGGCCATAGCTGCATGGGAAAAGGTGGAACTTGTGGTAGCTCTGAGCCTCAGCAACAATCACAGAGACTTCCCTAAGCCATTTGGGACCAAGTAGCTACACACACACACACACACACACACACACACACACACACACACACACTACGCACGCACGCACGCACGCATGCACGCAAGCACAAGTCCTTGTCTTTCTGACTCTCTGGTTCCCAGTAGTCACGGGGCCCAAGAGAACCTATAGGTTGCATTTATCTCCAGGAACTCCAGGAACTGAACATGCCATCACCCCTCGCTATGCCCGAGGTGTGCATGGAAAAGCAGGGCAATGTATCCCCTTTTTCTACAAACAAAAGCACCTGTTGGAAGCTCTGAGATCCAGACAGCTGCCAGCCACTCATCAGCGCTGCATGCAGCCAAGCATGGCCAGAAGGAGAGGGCAGGGCACCAGAGGGCTGTATCTCTGAGCTATCTACCAGGTCATAAAGCAATTAGCAGAAGGGCTTGGCCCTTCCCACAGTTTCCATTCATGCTTGCTTTCTTCTATTCATTCACCAGGCCAAGGAGTTGGAGGAGTTGGAGGAGTTGCGCAAGGGCAGGGATCAGGGATCATATCGTATTCCCTTGTGTATTCTCACTGCCTTGCCCTGTGCCTGGCCCCAGACTCTCCAGTGAATGGACTCATTCACCCGAGCATTCATTCAACAGGTGCTGAGCCAAGCCCTAGAGGGTGCAAAAAAAGTGAGGCAGCACTGCTGTTAGCCTTCCGGGAACTTAGACTCTAGATGGGTAGACCCAGTGGCTCGGCGGGGATTTCTTGAACTTGACCTGTAGGCCAGGGCTGCACAAGGTACAGCTAAGAAAGAATGAGCAAGCCCCCAAGTCAAACAAGTCACCTGGATCCATTCTTCCAAAGGGAAGTACCCACTCCCCAAATGGAGGTTTTCCCACAGGGCTTTGACTTTGGCCTGGCAGTTCGGACTACACTTTCAGCTCCCTGGGGTCCTATAACCTACCCCCAGGGGTCTGTTTTCTGTTCATGAGGCTGTCGTGGTTAAGGTGGGGAGTTCTCAGTGCCAAGAGGGCTCCCAGTGCCTCTGGAGAGGGAGGTAAGCACTGGTTTTCTAGCCTGCACTCGGAGGGAAGCCTCATCAGGCCTCCACAGGTGAGTGTGGCTCGCATTACGAAACCTTTGCTGTTTCTTCAATCCGCAGAGATACCAGCAAACATCCACAAAGCAAACTCTTCACTCATCCAACCTCCCAGTGGCCACTGAGCTCTTCATCACAGGTGAAGAGCGTGAAAGAACTCCGAGAAGGCAAGTCTTCTCCATCGGCGAGCATAGGATGGCAAGCCAGTGATGCGGCTCTGGGTGTGACAAAGCCAGCCCAGCCCTGGCTTCGGTGCAGCACCCGACTCTAGCGTCTTCTCTTTTTATACCTCACTGGGCCCTTGCACCCAAGCGGCTCTTAAAGAAATCCGAGACCTTCTGTCTCTTGCTCCAAGCCTTGACCTCTAGGCACATCCCACCCTGCTGGGCTGCCACTCAGAGATGGGTCCCTGAAGTCCCCCTTCTGTTTCCTGGGCCCACGGTCTCAGGTCAGCGGTCAGCGGTCAGGTCCTCCGGCCCCATCCTCTCCACACTCCCTTCTTTCGAGTCTTTCAGCCTTGCCAGGCTCCTGCTGTTTTCTCATCTCCAGGCCCCTCACACCGCTTCCTTCCCCCTTTCATCCCTGCCCCCACTGGCTCCCACATCCTGCCCTGGGGCCCTCTGCCTGGCCCCAAGAAGTCTGTCTCCGCATTGTTCTCCACTTCCAACATTAGCATTCTCAAAACCCACATTTGCATTTTCATGGCTCCTGTCCCAGCTAGACAGGGGTACACTTTGATGCATATATATTTTGGAGAGGAGGCTTTCTCCTGCATAGCGGCTAATTTTCCACTTCCATTCAAGTGTATTCTTTGGTTCTGGCCTGATTTACTCAGGGCCAAGACAGGCTTTAGCCAGCACCTTTAGGCTATGCTGAGGCCTATAAGATGACAGAGAGACATCTCGCCTCCTGGGAACTCAGGGAAACAGACGTCTCACTTCCCACGCCTCCCCCGTCCTGCTCAGAACTTCAAAGCTTCCTGCAAGCTCCATCTGCAGCCCATGTTCTTCCCTCCCAGGCCCAAGGGCCTTGGCCTCCAGTATTTCCTAGCACAACTGCAAGGGCTGGAGCCCAAGGTCCCTAGCTCAGCTGATGGACAAAGTCAAGCCTTGATGATCCTAGGAGGATGGGACAGAGGCACACTAGAGAGCCTAGTGCCCCATATGTCCCTGCTTATACCGACACCCACCCACCCCCACCCCTCACCCCCGCAAGCCAGAATGGTTTCTCCTTACTTTAGAGGCTAGAGGAAAGTTACCAGGGGCCTGGAAGCATTCTCATTTAGGGTCTAGGCTTCGAGATAAGTATTTCTATGCCTCTGGGCTACCGAGACTCAGCTGGAACTGAGCAGCCAAGTGCCAAGCAACAAATAGGAATGCCCTGACAGGTCTCCAGAGGTTTTAGGGCAGGCATGTTTTTTTTTAACAGAGATTTAGGGAATTGTGGTTTGCATGGCACAGCTCCTAGGGTTTCATCCCAACTTGAGAGTGATTTACAATTCTAGCCCATTGAGAAACCCTCAACATTCATTTCCACCTACAGCTGAGTTCTTTCATGCAATAGCCCCAAAGAGAATGTTATCCAGATGGTGAGGAGGAGATCTGGGTGCATTCTGGCTGGCATGGGGAAACAGAGTCAGGCAGTTGGAAACTTCTGGGCTCTGCCTCCAGGTAGGGCTGACTCTGGCTGGCAGAACTTCTGCAAGGAAAGCAAAGGAAGACCTTGACTTCCCTGGATTGGTCAGCATGCAATGGCTTGCTTATGAGTCTTCTGTTCTTGACACCATGGAGGAGACTGGGGATGACGCAAAAATGAATAGAAATCGGTCTGAGATATATATACACATATATATGTATATATATATATTCTAGTATAGAATAAATATAGTTATTGCCTATTCATTGTTTGCTTGTTTAGGTCCCCCGCCCCTTTGGGGCGTTATTTATTACTTCTATGTTTGATAGCAAGATCATATCTACATTTTACACGTTAGCAAGAGGCTATAGTTAAAGGATCCAAGTGTTATTGTAATTTGGGGGCGGTCCTGGCAGAGTTGCCTCATAACATTAGAGACATCAAGGTCTCCTCT